TTTTTTCTTTTTTTTTAATGAAAGAAGTTTATTATAAGTGCCTACTCAACTGTTTTATTAAAAAATACCGAAAAGCAAATGGCCTTTGTTTTGGATTTAGATTCCTCAACGAACAAGAGCATTTTGATTATTTTGCTCACGTAAATGGCCAAAACCAAGTAATGTAATACTCAAAATATGTAATAACCTTTTACTATTTTTCTGAAAGTTTTGGCTTGGAACCAAATGCCGAAATTACCTCTATTTGCATGTATATTCTTAGGGCATGTTAGGTACACGTGAAAATATTTTCATGAAAGTATTTTCATATGAACGAACTTCTCGAATAATTCGGTGTGAGAGTTTTTTTATATAAGATTTATATATGACCTAAGCTTTATAAAAAAGTAAATAAAACCTCACCTCAAATGAAATGGAGATCTAGTGTTGGAGTTGGAAACCCTATGATACCCTGAAAAATATTTTTTCTCCGCATTACAATATATACTTTATATAGGGCTTTTGTTTTTTTTTTTCGAATTCATAATTATAGAGGTTCATATGATCAAATTGAGTGTTTTCACATAGGGTCTAGTCATTGTCATATCATTTTCCTTTTAATAAATGAAAATAATTCATATAAGACGCTTATCTTATAATATCGGAAAATTATCAGAAATATACTTTAATTTAGTTTAATTGGAAAAAACCCCCAATTTTTGTAAATCTCTTCTACACATTTTTTTCCTTATTTTTTGTTTTTGTTTTTTACCAAAATAACTTTCACGATAGTCGTATTACCGTGAAGAACATTATGGTACTTTAAGTACCGTAATGTTTAGTACATTTTATATAGTACTTTAAGTACCATAATGTTTAGTGCATTTTATATGGTACTTTAAGTACCGTAATGCTATAAAGTACCGTAATTTTTAACGCATTTTATACGCCACTTTTAATGCCGTAATATCTCCAATCTTATCAGAAGAATTGAAGGATACCGAGGTTTTGATCCGAGGCCAGTCTCAAACTATTCAAGCCGTTCGCAAAAACGTAGCTTTTACTAAGAGAGAGGGCCACTGTGCAATGTGTTTTCACTGTTGCTCCAGGGTTTATCAGTAAACATATCGTTAAATTTGTCACTGGTTTGGGCAGGGAATCAAATATTGATGTATATGGGGTGGTCTCAGTTCCTGAAATGGCAATTAAAGGCAACTCTCAACAGGTAAATAATATGGAATTTCTTCCCATTTTTCGATCAATTATCATCTTGCACGGATTGAATTGCTCTATTTTACTTACTAGTTGTATTTTTCTGTTTTAAATTGTATTAAGGTTGTTGAATTTGAGCTTGATTCATGTAGGAATCACCGGATTGTTGAATCTGGACACTCTTTGGTTAATTTGTAATTTTTTCTTTTTATGGTTCTAGCTTACATGTGGATTGAATTAATATAAGGGAAAATATTTCCACACCCCATATTTATGGGTTTTATTTCACAATAGATCCAATGTTTTAAAAGATATATTGGGATATAAAAATTGTAGATTTTATTTATTCTGACCCCTTGAACTACTTTAAACCTATTTTTTTTGTTAAGGTCAAACAAATTTAAAAATACATATTTTTTCTCTCTCCCTATATCCTTTCTCTCTCTATCTTTCCCATCTCTAACCCTTCGCTCTCTCTCATCCCGCTCTCTTTCTCTTCACGTTTTCCATCTCTCTCCCTCGCTCTCTCTCCTCCCAAATACATAGTAAGTATATGGAGAGAAAAATAAAACGTTGTTTAATCCATTGAAAGAGATAGGTGTTTGGATAAATACAGGGAGAGAGAGAGGTGTTTGGATAAACAGAAAGAGATGTGTTTCGATAAATAGGGAGGATAGAGAGAGAGAGTGAAAGACACAACAAGAAAGAGAAAGAGAGAAGTTGGGTATATAAATAAAGAGAGAGAAGAGATTGGGTTTAGAAAGAGTATGTATTTCTCACATTTGTTTAGCTTAAAAAATAGGTTTAAAGTGGCTGAGGGTTGGAAGATATTTTTTTAATCCTTGGGTTTATCAAGAAATGAAATATAAAAATAGGAGATATAAAGATATTTTCCCTTAATATAATCCATACGTATATATGTATTTTGATATTCATGTCTAGGTAGGGCTATGTAGTTTAAATTTGGAATAAATCAGCAAAATTTGAGTACCGTAACAAAGATCGGAGATATTACGGTATTAAAAGTGACGTATAAAATGCGTTGAACAATACGGTACTTAAAGTACCATATAAACTGCAAACATTAAGGTACTTAAAGTATTGTATAAAATGTGCTACACATTACGGTACTTAAAGTACCATATAAAATGCACTAAATATTACGGTACTTAAAGTACCATAATGTTATTCATGGTAATACGACTATCGTGAATATTATTTTGGTAAAAAAAAAAAAGGTTGAAAATGAAGAAAAAACTGTGTAGACGAGGTTTACAAAAGTTGGGGTTTTTTTCCTAATTAAGCTAAAATTAAAGTATATTTTTGATAATTTCCCTATAATATAAGAATAAGGCGCACCTCATAAACCCCTCAGAAAATGTTGTTGTAATGTTGTAAAACTTTTAACTTTCATCATGACCTTGAGATTTGTGGATACAAAGAAAATTCAACTTCAAAACATAAAGTTAATGCATCTTGTAACACATTATTTGGACCATCAATTTCAAATTTCAAGATGTTTGAGTGTTTTATAAAAGGAAAAATTTATAAACAATCAAATTAGAGTGTACCTCAAAACTTTCACTAGAAGGTGTTATTTTGATGGCCAAATATCCTCAAATCGTTCATCTTGACATCAAGGTGCATGGAAATGAGAAAAAAATTGCATTTCAAGTTTTGGAAATATTGCATCTTAATACATTTTTAGACTGTCAATTTTCAAGACTTAAAAGTATTCATAGATTTGCTCGATCAACACTATTTTTTAAGCTTTAAGTTTTATAATTAGAGATGCAAATATATTTTAAGGCTATGAAAAATACTTTCAATGTTGAAACCATATTTCTTTATACTATTTAAAGGTAGGCTCTACTTTGATTATTTAGAGCCTCGGCTCTATGCAAACCACACCTTTTTTATATATATGCGCAATCTACACTTTTTTTAAGCCTTAGGTTTAATTATAAAGGGTAGAAATAGATTTTTAGACTATCTTAAGAGTGCGGTATTGGAACTACTCATTCTTGCATGGCTTTAAGGTGGGCTTAATTTTGATTGTTTAAGGTTGACGACTTGTATAAATGGTAATATTCTAACAAATGGTTGCTTTTATGCATAAGATGTAAACCTTAAATAACCAAAAGTGCACCTCCAAATCTTGTAAGAGTGTGCAATTTTTAGTGCCAGAATTCTTTACGATGGCTTCAAAATCCATTGTAACTTATAATTATAAAATTTAAAGTTTACAAATTAACACAAATCAAATAAACCTATAAATACTTGAAAACCTTCAAAATGGAAGATCCAAACAATGTTTTACTAATAAAATGTATAAAATAAAACTATTTATTTTTGGTACAAGAAAATCATGTTTGATATCGATCATTAAATGTATAAATCAGGTGGTTAGGGGTGTATTAATGACTTGGTACATAGCCCAAAATATAATTTCTCAAACTATGTAACAAATTTTGAGCTGATGGATTTGGCATTCAATGACTAAAGATGAGCATGACATCTTTATAATGAAAATAGAAAAAGTATACAAAAGAGACCATTTACTTATGACGTCACTTACAGTCCCTTCAATTTCAAATGAGCACTTTAATTTTATTTATTTTTTCATATTCACACATCACCGGGTCAAAATTATAAATTCATTGGAAGATTTTATCACGATGAACAAACTTCTCTAATTTTTAAAACACCTTCTAGGAAGAAAATTATTGCTTGCTATACTATTTTCAAGGGGAGGGAGGGTGGCATTGGATTAGGTACGGGTCTTGTCTGGTTAGACCTGGACCTGGACCCGAACAGTATTTGGGTGTAGGTTTTGGACATGGACTTGACCTTTGGATCCAAAATTTGGATTTGCACCCATACCCGTTGGGTCCCGAGTCTAGTCGGATCTATTGCCACCCTATAATTATGAGTTTTTTTTTTTTTTGCATTTCTTTTTACCACGATATACCTATACTATTGGCAACATTTATAGTATTGCACAACATTTATGAATGGAACAAGTTTATATAAGGGTGCAACCTTATAATGTAGAACTACGGATGCACCTAAAAAATCCATCGAAAAAGGTAGTTTTAATGTTGAAAACCCCTTTGATTGATCATCTAGACATCGAGACCATGAAAAATAAAAAAAATTTAAGTCTTAGAAATAGTGCATTTTACAACATATTATCTACACTGTCTATTTTCAAGATTTTCATATGTTAATAGATCTACTTGATTTTAACTATTTTTTAAATTTAAAATTTTATAATGAAAAAATAGATTTTGAGATAATCCTAAGAACATTTTACATCAAAATTATATACCATGATAAAATTTGAAAGTGCACCTTACCTCTACCACTACGGAGGCATCCGTATGCCAAATGCAGCCTTTATGACTACACACATAGCCACATTCCTTACTGTTTTACGTAATAATTAGAAATTCCTAAAAAAACAAATGGTATCCATGAATTCCCTCATATTAATATACTTGGTCGGGAACAACTAGACCTAGACCCGGACCCGACCTTTTGGATTTAAAATTTATACCTATATCTAGACCCGAGGTCGGGTCTATCTGCCCGGTCCTGTCAGGTCCATTGCCACACCAAACTGTATTTGTGGGGAGCGTGTACTTACACTAAATAAATGAATTAGTTGAGCACCGTTTTGATACTTTGAAATGGTTGGAGAATAGCCATACTTCCCCACTTATTATAAATAGGCACGGGGCGAGAAAAGAGCGCGCGCTTTCGCAGCACGGAGAGTTCAGAGAGAGAACGGAGAGTTGAGAGAGAGATAGCGCGCGCTTGCTTTTGTATAGAGAGAGAGAGAGCGCGCGTTTGCTTTTTAGAGAGAGAGAGAGAGAGCGCGTTTGCTTTTGTAGAGAAAGAGCGCGCGCGCGCTTGTGCTTTTTGTAGAGAGAGAGTTTCTGCAGGGGTGAATCTCTTCATGGGGAAACTCCATATTGATATTAACGTGGTTCCTACTGACGAAGACTCCAATGGAGATGGACCCAGCTCAATCACGAAGAATGAAAAGCATTTCGAGATCAAGAAGTGGAGTGCAGTGGCCCTTTGGGCATGGGTATGCAGTTTAAATATCTCTCTCTCTCTCTCTCTCTCTCTCTCTCTCTCTCTCTCACAATCGTTAATGATTTTTCTTTTCTATCTCATATATAGTTTTTGGTCTTTTGAAAACTGGGGTCTAGGGTGTCTGCTCTCTTTCCCTTTCCATTATGATTTTCCTTTGCTGTTTCTGTCTGTTGTCGGTCAAACTCTAGGGTTTATGATCTTCTTTTCTTGTGCAGATATTCTTGTTGACAATTGCGCCATATGCAGGAACCATATAATGGATCTATGTAAGCTCTGCTTCTTTTCTTTCCTTGTTTCCTGTTTCCCTTTAGTTTTTCATCAGAGATCTCCTTCTGCTTTTTCTTCTTCTTCTTTTTGAGGGTTTTCTCTTCTATTATATTCCTAGATTATCTTACTTTTACTGTAATAGAGTCAGTGTTTTCCAAAATCTTTTCCTTCAAGTCTTCTTTCTTCTCTGTTTTTGTTTGTATTTCTGTGATAATTAATGGTAGTATCATGAATAAAATTAACTTTTAGTGATTTTAATACCATTCTTTGCTGGTTTAGAACAGGCATTGAATGCCAGGCAAATCAAGCAAGTGCAACTAGCGAGGAGTGCACAATCGCGTGGGGTATGCATCTTATCTCTCATGTATTATATGGCTCTTTTTCTTGATAAACATTACATGACTGATTTCATTTTACTTTCGTTATTTTTATTTCTTTTTTATGTTTTCTTTCACTTTATCTCATATCTATTTTGATTTGTAGCATTGCCTATAATTCTAATGGAAATATTTTTTGACTGTTCATGGATAGAGAATAAAATTTATTGTCTGTTTTAGGCTTCTTGATAGGAAGCATTTAGTTGTTATCGTTACTTCTTGTACGGAGCTACGGTTGAGGCCTGGACCAAATTTTCAGTGCATGTTGTTTTTGAAGATTCAATAGTTTTTTCTATGTTTTGTGTTGTGCTGGTGATGCAAAATCGGTTATATGGTTTGTTGAATACTCAAGAATCACCATTTTCAAAATTTGTGTTGTTTTAGCATTGGACTCTAAATATACTTTTTTTTACTGGATCCTTTTCGTAGGGTTACTCTTAAGGAATTATTAAGACATTCACGGTTAATGACTATTTTTGGATGTGATTCTATTGAACATGATGCCTTGTTTATAGAAGAAAGAATGGTTGTTTAGAAAGAAGAGTTCTAGAAGTTCTTTATGAGTAAATAGTTTCCGGTAGGGGTAATGGTACCCAGAAGCCTAACATTCGATATGGTATTTGGGTGCGCTTAAATTCATTGAACATACTTTTCCCTGGACTGTGAATGACATTGGTCAGTTAGATGATATTTGTTTGATGGGTAACATAAGGGTATACATATAATCATGGGATTTAAGAACACTGAGAGCATTTGGTGATCCAGAAGATTGGCTTTTTTGCTTTTGTCAATTACATACTGCTTACTTCTTCTGTTTTGGCATAATGCTTTGGTATAAGGAAGGCGACAAGGTGGAATCTCGAGAAGGGTCAAGAACAAAATCTCTGACGATGAACAAAGAGTAATTAAAAATGATAGCATTGGCAACTGGAGCATGAAGGGTGAATCCTCATTTTAAAGAAGAAAATATAGAAATGTGAATACTATTTCTTTTATTTTTAATTGTGACAATTTCAATGCTGTAAAATATGTTCCAAGTATAGGGGGAATGGTTTCAATGCTGTAAAATATGTTCCAAGTATAGGGGGAATGGTTCTGCATGAGTTTGAAATGTATAATTCTGATTCTAAATGCCCAAAAAGATGAGCAAATTTCATATTGGTGTCAATGATCAGTATAAGCTACTTTAATAGTACATGAGGGATTTGTGACAGCTCTACCCCTAGATAAACATTTGAATATAAGCTTTATGAACTAGATCCTGACTTATAGAAGGAAGTGATTCCAGTACCATATAGGAAGGTTGATAATGAGGACTTTATAATAGGAATTTACTGTAGCTGACCCATGCCCGGGTAAAGGGACGAGGTTGTGTTAGGTAGGCAGCCAATGTAAAACTTTGCCAAAACTTATCATGAAACTTGTAGCCGACCCGAATTAGTTGGGAAAGGCTTTTATGATGATGATAATAGCAATGTACTAGCTTCAATCCTATCTTTTAAGCTGATACTTGCCATTGAAACTGTCAACCATCTCTGTGTTAGACATCAAAAAACTACAAATTGATTTGTTTCATGTTTTCCTTGTCTACATAGCAAAATGTAAGGAAAATATTTTATACACGGATCATTCTTAACTAATTAAACTATTGGTATGTGCACTTGCTATTCTGGTTCCAATTGGATCCAATCCTTTGAGATGTTGGATATTGAATCCATCCACAAGCTATTCACTAGACGATAAAAAATGTATGTGTTTACTGTTTTTGTATTATACCATGGTTATTTAGCAAGATACAAGGAACAGAAGGCCAGAATGAAGAAATGTTTACAATCATCATTTCTCAGACTATAAGAGAAACTTTCTTGAAGGTCCTGGAAAACTTACATGGTTACACCTGGGTGCAAGGAATATTGTGCCCTAGAAATATCTTCCCCTGGCGCAGTGGACCTGAAAAGCAAACCAAAGTAAATACGGTTGCATCCTTATTGTATAGGCCTTCTTTGGGTCCATTCAATTGTGTCACATTCTGAATGTATGGACTGGTATATGCATGTTCTTAGAACTTGGTTTGCCAGTGGCATGAGTAAGCTTCAGATCACTTTTAAGATCTATCCCACAATCTTTTAAGAGAAGACCCAGTTTCAAAATAAGCATTAAAAGATGGTTACCTTTCTTTTTTCCTTTCACTTCTTCTTGGTCTTCTTTGTCAATGTGTCATCAGCAGGAAAATGGAGGTCGGAAGTTCTTCTCGGCTTCATGGGTTTTAACCAATGGTTTAAAAAACAGATCGGTGACCCGGATCGGGCTTCCAAAAAATCGATCCGGATCGGCGAATCGGCGATCCGGATCGGGAATCGGGTGAATCGGTCAGAATAAAGCTTAAAAAAAATCCGAAAAAATTATTAAAATTCATTATAAATATTGTTTTTTAGGAATTCAATAAGAAATGAGGGTACTCCATTAAGAATTTTCATGTTTTTGAATGAATATGCGAATATTGATATGTTCTTTCCCTGCATGAACCGCCATTCAGCATTTAATTTACATCACACAAAAGGATAAACATATAATTATCATGGAATAAGTATATCAACATACATGGACTACAATAAAGCATAAAATTAGTAACATATGATCTAAAAATAAAATGATAGACGACGTTATTGTTCTTCTTGGTCACGCTGGTGCCATTGATTGAATTCGTTTAATAATTCATTGATTCGATTTTAAAAACGAATCATCGATATT